TAAAAACTTTTTAGTACGGTAGTAATAAAATATTACTGTACGGTCTTCAAAGATACGTAAGTACTTCAAATTTACAATTTGAAAATTTTTCAATTTGATAATGTAATCATTTGAAAATTTAGACAGTTCATATCTTAATACTTTTGTTAAGTTTTCAAATTTCGAAATTTCCAACTATCCAAACTTTTGACTATCTAAGTTTAAAAATTTATTGATTCAGTATTTTTGGAATTTTGAAATTGAAAAATTCGAAAATCTGAAAGTTTAGAAATTTTAAAATTTCCAAGTTTCAAATCTTCAAATTCTTATGTCTTGAAAGTAGACAGTTCCAAGCTTTCAAAGTTTAAAATTAATTTAGTGATTTACAATATTGACAATTTGGAAGTTTGGAAATTCAAAATATGTTGAAATTTCTGATTTTCAAACTTTTAGTTCTGTGATTTGGATAATTGGTAATTCGGAAATTTGAAAATATAAAAATATAGTGACTTCTTGTTTAAACCGATAAACCGACAATTCTTTAAGTTGAATTATTTCTGAATTTTCAAAGTGTAAGTTGCCTATCAGTGTCTATTGAATTCTAGGTAAATCGTTAATAATAAAATGTTTATTGATTTTCAGTCAACAACCGCTGCAAAGTTTCCTCAATGTACCATTAAATTTAATAAGTTTATCAGAGTTCTCAATCAGTAAGGTGTTAAGCAAAACAATTCTTAAACGCAAGTATGATATTTTCAATCAATGAGCCTGTAAAAAGTGTTCTTCTTGACTGTCTTGTTTTCTAAGATACAAAGATCGTATGAAGAAATCTTCTAATAGAATTCCATCTTTCGAAGGACGTTCTACTTGTTCAGTCTCTCAGAGAAATTTGTTTACCGAAAAATACATACATTTATGTATATTTATGTAATTATACATTGTTCGAGGTGCTTGTCGATTACACGAAGAATAGTGAATTTACGCAACATCTCTACTAATTTCTACAGGGAACTTCCGACTTATTCTTAGATTAACAAAGCATCGCTATAACTTCCTTGTCGTTTTATGTCTCCCTTAATGCTGTAAATGTATGTATATAATATATATATATTTATTTATATGTATACGTATATAAAAAGAAACCAACGTCCTTTGTGCACAGTACACCGTATACGATTCAACATTATTAACGCGTCCCATGAAAGATTAACTTGAGTATTTAATTATACATATTAAGTACATTTCCATACAATTTTATCATACATCGTTAAAAAAATGGTGTTATTTGCAAATAGTGTGTCTGTGCTCATTGGCGTAATTAGGACGTCTGTGTAGAGTAGATAATCCTCACAGGAGAAAATGGTGATATAAGGAAAGACTACGGGTCGTGCAATACAGGGTGCTACTCACGATTTTTCTCCCACTTGCACCTTACGATAAAAAGTTTAGAACAATATTTGCAGGGTATGTGCACAATAGATATTAGTAAAGCAATTTTTGAAAACAGTTTGTTCTCTTGGCAAAGTCAAGGTTATCCTGAGTTTTTTAAATAGGAACATACATTTTTTTTATGAAGAGCTTTAGAGGACATCGAGACGAATTCAAAACACATGTTACATGATATTTTTATTAACATACTACTCGATTTACAGAAGAGGAAATGTGAAGTACTTAGCTTTTGACTTTGGTAGTGTAACCATTATTTGATTCCGAAGAGATTACTGAATGTAAACACGCGACTAGAATGTAAGAAAAATACACTTTATTTAATTAC